CATTAAGTAAAATTAAATAAAATTAATTTTGCTAAACTTTTATGAAAATAAAATTAAAATTTCAGTTTTCAAAATCCAGAAGTGGTTTCCAAATGGAAACAAAATTTGATAACTTCTCTTTAATTAGTGGATTTTGCCATCTCTTGCCAATATTCTTCCATTGTAGGAATTACTATGTCATTCCATCTTTCAATATATATATTCGAAATTTTCTTTTGAGCTCTTTATCCACAATTTACCAATTCTTGAGCTAGAAGAAAACTGTATTGGCATGAGATTTACAGTGCCTGATGCTGACCTCTATCTAGGCATTGTTGTGGGTTGTCACTAAATGGTATCTTTATTTCCAGGCGCAATGGCTCAGCAGTTAAGAAGCTGAGCTTGTCAGATGGAAGGTTTGACAACCCAGGTTCGAGATCCAAGCACCACATAATAGGCAGCTCCTGTTCTTGCTCCAACTCCTGCCCACGTAATAGTTCAAAAGCACGCAAATGTGAGTAGATAAATAGGTACCACTTCAGAGGAAAAGTACAGTGTTCTGTATTTCACCACATGCTCTGCGCTGCAGCGTGATATCATGCTGGCCACATGACCTTGGAAATGCCTTCAGACAATGTTGTTGGCTTCCTTGGCTAAGAAACAGAGATGAGCACTACCCCATAGAGTCACTAGACACTACTGGATAGGAGATATCTTTACCTTTATTTCCAGTATACGTGGCAAGTTAAAGAAAGAGATTGGTCAGTTCCTCAGCTATGTTCCTGTCCCTTCCAACAGGCATCAAAAGATCAATTAATCATTCTTTTTAATGTGGGAGGAATCTGGGAGAAGTTGAGTTTTAGTAGATGGCTAGACTGGCAGGTTTAACCATGTGACAAGGATTGTGATATGCGCAAATGTTTGCATGGATCTGTTCAAAAGGAACCTGGCTAACAGCTAACCTGGCTAACATTTTAAGCTATTATAAATGGAAGGTTTGGTGAAATTAATGTCATTTAATGCAAGACTAGGAGTATTGGAACAATCAAGAGCTTTAAAAAAAAGATACACATCCCCATGGGACACCCAACTCAGACAAAAACTGTTCTGAGTCTAAGCTTGTCATAAATAGACTGTTCCTGTTGGCTTGTCAAAAATAGACTGTACCTCCTTCCAGTTGGCATACGGGCTTTCAGCTGCCCATCCGCATAAGCAGGTGTTGTGAAACAATAGCTCCGTGGTCCTATTTCCAAGCACCCTCATTTTTTTTTAAAGGCAAAGTTTTATTTCAACCGGGATCTTGAGCACGTTGGATGCCCAAGTGTTTATATCAAAGAGGAAAAGTGATGAACACCTACTGCTTATTCACCTTTCTACTCCTTGGAGCAGGTAAATCGTGTGAATCGGTTGCATAATTTTAGTCTAACTTCATTGGTACAGCAGTTCCTATGGAAAGAGCAGACAGAGAGAAAAAACAGTCGTAGGGAAGTGTGCATATCTGTGTGTATTTGAATGCATATGCATAAGAGAGAGAGAGAGATAGTCAGCATTTATTTTCCCTTTATTGAGTCTTACTATTTGTGATTGTCTTAGTGATTCATACCCAATATATAAATAATAGATAAAAGGAAAGAGGAGAGTCATGTCTTTGTCTGCTTTATATAGGCCTTAATTATGCCTGGAAACAACCAGATATGATAATTCCAACAATAGAACTTGGGATTTTAAACTTGCTTCCCTTTTAAAGACATCTTTGGACATAGTTTTATACCTTCCATCCCATTTACTTTATTAGAAGTATTTCTTCCATAGGAATTTTAGATGTATTCTTTTTTTAAATTGTCAGACAGTCAAAGTTTTATTTATACTTCACTGAAAGTTCCTCACACCAAAGCTACCTTTCCCCAGCTAATTTGCAGGGAATCCTTCCTTTGTCACCAGACTGTATGCCATTCAAGAGATCCACAATGTATTAAAGAGATTTCTCAAAGAGCTGGAGGCTGGAATTGAATCCAATATATCTTAAACAGAGGTACCAGTCTTACTTAAAGATCAGATTTTCCCCCAAACGTTGGTGCTGCCTTTCTTTCAGTTGTAGCTTTAATTTCTCTATAGCTTGGTATTTGCAAGCAATTTACACTGAATCAATCTAATAGCTTTATTTCTAGTTGGTTGTTTTTATCTTATATATTCTTCAGAACCCTTTATTCATGCTTGCATAGGGCAGGTTCCCCCACCCCTCAAAATGTTATTCAACTTTGATTCCAGGACCTCTTGTAGGCAAAACATTCCAATCCTATCTTCAGAGGGGGGAAAAGAAAAAAAAGGAAAGAACAGTGTTCCCATCTCTCTTTTGCAGATTATTTGTTGTATCTACTGTCCTTCCTTGATGACAGTGAAGATGGAAATGAATAGCAGTAGATTTGGAAAACCAGATCTCTCCTTTTTGTGCTTCTGAGTTTTTAGGACAGCAGCTTATTCTCCTATTATTCAAATGCAAATTTTGTTTCAGTCACTAACTCTATACTGCATAAAAATTAAAGTAAAGCTATGTGCCCAATAAACATCAATAATTATGTAACATGTTATGAGTCTTCAGATGCTTATATTTAGTTATTCTTTTGGCCAACATCTTTTGAATTTAATTTGTACTCATAAATTGGTAAGTTTCAAAGTGAGTTCATCATGTTGATCGGATAAAAGGTAGCTGAAGTAAAATGTACAATTACAAGCATGATTTTTCAAAAAAGAAGATACATATTCTGAATTAATACTATGGTCATTTCCTATAGGGAATATTAATATTTTCTAATTAAGTCATTCTATCTCCTGGACACAGTAAGCTTATTTAAAAATCTTGCTGGCCTTTTGCTAAAAGTCATTGCTATCTCTATATCCTTTAAAGTAGCAGACATATCCATTGGTAGCATGATTTCCTTTTTAGATTTGATTCACTGATTTGGGTAAGCTGTGATTTGTTCTGTTTTTATCAGCCAAAACGATTGTGATGTATTCAATAGACAAGGGTTAAAAAAAACCATTACTGAACATAATGTATATGAACCCAGAAAAGTAGCTTTATTTAAAATCGCACAAGAACCTATAAATGATGATTTTCTTCATGAATTTAGTTTATGCAAAAGAATGCACACAGAGAGACATTAACCATTCATTAAGGAAGATATAAATTTCACTGCAACTTTATACATAATTAACATATAATAATCCCCACTGAAAAATTGGGCTGCCTAAATAAGAACTGTATAGATTTGGGGCATATATTTATGATGTTGCTCTCATCCATTATTCCTTAGCTACAATGTGAAATAGTTGTTTTTGTTTTTTAAAAAAATGGATGGGGAGACCTTGGTGTTCTCTCTCTCTCTCTCTGAACTTGGTTGTTTGCTTGAAGCTGTTTCATTACCAAATTAGGTGACACCATCAGTGCTAGAAGGGAATGGGGTTTGGTCTCTGTTTATATACAATAGCTTGCCATTGAACATAGGTTGGAGGGGTTTCAATCAATTGATCAATCAATTTTATTATAGTCATAGACCAGCATTGGTGGAAGTGTAGTTTTCTCCATGGTAAGACCTTGATAAGGATGCTATTTTCTGCTTCATTGAAAAATAGATTTGCTTAGTATGTTTGAATAACACCTATACAATTATTTTGATTCAAGAGATCTTTTAATAATTAAAACATAGAATGTGTGTTGATGTCATTGCCAGGTTCATAAAAACTTTAATAAAAATGCATTGAGAAAATATCTGCCAGAGTGAAGCATTCAGACAGGGCTCAGTAAACCTGGGATCAGCAGAAATCCTGTAGACCAGTTTCCAACAGGAAATGTACTGTTTTTTACATAGTGATCCATGAAGTTTTTTAATTATTTAATCTGATGCTGACTTTTGCACTTAAACTGTAATGTTAAATTGTTGGGCTGTTTCAACTTCTAAATTGTTAAAGGCATAATTTTGTGTTTCATCACATGTCAAAATCTTATTTTTAAAAAAAAATCTTTAAAAAAATCTTTAAANCCAGGTTTTAACGGCTTTTCGGAAGGCCTGGAGAGAGGCGAGGGTCCGAATCTCTGCGGGAAGGTGGAAATAGCTTTAATAGGCTCATTCGCAGGGCCAAGCCGATATAGTAACTAGATGCTAAATAAGCCCTTGTGCTGAAAAGTTTTGGGGGGGGGGGACACAGACCATGAGAAGGGGTGAATGGGTTAGAGGGGAACGTTGAAAAAAGAGGAAACTACCTTTTTGCATGAGAAATCTTTTTCCAGTTGCTACATGTTGATTTTTCTAGGATGAAAATATTTCGGTGTGCAACCTATAAAAACTCACTACTTTTTTATATTTTTATAGGATAAATCACAATCTGCGGAAATCTGGGAGAAGCTGAATTTCGGAAATAAGGACCAAAATGTCAAGTTTAGGAAGTTGATGGGCATTAAGGTAGGTGTTTCTAAAATTATAGCTTTGTCTTTACGCAAGATTGATCAGCCTGAAGAGACCTGGGTGGACTTGGACAAGGCCTACAGGCTGTGAAACAAAGCTTCAAAGGAGTGAAGTCACATTCTCCAGGTTCGCTGGATGAGTTAAGAGAGACAAGCTCAAACAGTGGGGAAATACAAACTTGGATTAAAATGATCTCCCGGGGATCCGATTTTATTGTGTATACCCTGCAAGAACCCTACCAACTTTCCAGAGCAGATTTAGAGAACCTCAGTTGGGGAAGGGACGCGGTGGCTCATTGGCTAAGAGCTTGCTGATCAGAAAGGCCAGCAGTTTGGAGGTTCGAATCCCTAGAGTCACGTAACAGAGTGAGCTCCCGTGACTTGTCCCAGCTTCTGCCAACCTAGCAGTTCGAAAGCACATAAAAAATGCAAGTAGAAAAATGGGGACCACCTTTGGTGAGAAGGGAAGAGCGTTCCGTGTGCCTTTGGTATTGAGTCATGCTGGCCACATGACCACGGAGACGTCTTCAGACAGCGCTGGCTCTTCGGCTTAGAAACAGAGATGAGCACTGCCCCCTAGAGTCGGGAGCGACTGGCACATATGTGCGAGGGAAACCTTTACAGTTGGGGAAAGACTGTTTATGCTCCACTACTTGGTAACTGGTGAAAATTAAGGGAACATTGGTGGAGACTTCACAGCAACGCTTTGTATCTGAATCTCTGTTGTGCGCCATTGTTAAGCTGGATGCCGTGTATGGGTGACTGTTCGGTTGATGCTTTCTGTCTGTTTCTCCCAGCACGAGGAGGAAGCCGGGGGGGCGGCTAGCAGTTCAGTGGACGAGGAGAGTTATAAGACTTTGAAACAGCAAGAAGAAGTCTTCCGCAATCTGGACGCACAGTACGAAATGGCCAGGTCGCAGACGCACACCCAAAGAGGAATGGGGCTGGGCTTTACGTCTTCGATGCGAGGAATGGACGCCGTTTGAGGCAAAGGCCTTCGGACAGCTTTTGAGACTCCCGACCAAGGTTTTCTGGTTGCGGTGTGTTGGCTTCCTTGTTCACCGACAGCTGGCATCCTAGCTTGCATGGGTGTTAACATTGACTTTTAATTTATTGACATTACAATTTTTTTTTTTTTTGTAAATACCAGATCAGTGATAACTGGTGGTTCCATGTTGTAATCAGGTTATTATACTCAAACTTCCATTATACGCGCCAGAGCTCCAGAAGGGACGCTTCTACTTCTGTGGTTTTCGAATCGGAGCAGCCGAGGGTGAACGCCCCCCACACGGATATTTTGTGTGTGTCCACCACCGTCTCTCTCTCTCTCTTGTGTACTTTTTTGTACTTTAAACTTGTACAGTTATTTTCAACTCTTGGAACATAAACAAAAAAAAACACATTGTGTTGGTGTTAAAAAACTAGCAGATCGAGCCCGTGGGTAGATAAATGCAGTGCAACAACCTGGTTAATAAAACATGTTGTTTTTTTTTTTCTCAAGTAGTATATTCTATTTAAGTTTAGTGGATAAATCATTCCGCAGTTAATTTCACGGAGTATATTTTTTAAAATGAGTGCTCAGCCCAATGCAGGGAAGTAGAGGATAGGATTTAAGTAAGTAGAGGATAAAAGAATACTGCAGGCTGTTAGCTGTATCAAAATACTATATCCTAATTACGCTCATCTTCCTTACCGAGCAATTCTTTCCTCCTTGATTTAAGCAGTTTTGTTCTGTGAAAAGCTCTTAATACCGTAGAGGCAAAAACTGGGTTTTAATAGCCGTTGCCAGATTAACCGAATGTAAAAAGTGAAATGTAAACTCCTGTGCTAATTATAAATATGAGATATGAGCAGCAGTTGTTAAGAGGGAAGGACCTCAGATAAGGTGAGAAAAGAGTCTCGTAAATAACCAAAATTTGATATTGGTGGATGCCCCAGGGCTGTAGTTCAGTCCCCACTTTTAATCTGTTAAAGAGATTTTAGATTGAGATTAATCCGTCCTATGAAACCTGAATAATCTCCCCACACCCAACAGAGGCAGGTTGAGAACAGGGATGGCGGACGGATTAAAAATCCCAAACGGAATGGAGGACCCCAAGTGTTAAAAGAGTTGCAGTTTTTTGGAATTTGTGGCCGGGGAAACCAGGAAGAATTTGTGCTGCGTGTGATTGATGGTGTCTGCAGGGGCAGTTTTATATCAAAGAGAGTAGCAGGAACTGATAAAATATTCCATTAAAAGCGTTGAAAATCTATAACGTGCATGGTCTGTTCTTAAAAATAACATTTTTGCACGCCTTTCCCGGCGCTTCTGAATTTGCGGCCACCCTGTCCCATCATCCTGGGCTGGAACAAGCAGCCCGCGCACCCATTCCCGACCTCCCCACCGGAAACGCTCCCTCCCCTCGGCTCCCAACATGCATCGCGATCCCGCGTCCAACTACAACTCCCGGCATCCTCGAGGCGCTGGAGTCAATGGGCGGCCAGCGTAACCGTCGCCGCGTTGCATGACGGGCGCCGTAGTCTTGCAGCGCTGAGAGGCGGGAAAAAAAGCAGGCCGAAGCCCGAGACTGGGTTGAGCGGCGGAGCCCGGTTGCCGAGCGCTTTCACCGGGCCTCCCCGCGACGGGCGGCGGCGGCGGCCTTCGCCTCCTTCTCGCTCCCCGCGCGCCTCGGCTCCCGCGCGCCAAGATGGCGGCCGAGGTGGACTTCGGCGACCGCGAGCTCTTCCAGCAGCTGGAAGCCGACGAGGAGGCGCCGGGCCTGGAACCCGACCCGGCGGAAGAAGCTTCGGAGCTCCGCGAGCGGCTGAGGGAATCCGAGGAGACCATTAGGCAGCTGCGGGAGGAGAATATCCTGCAGCCGGGCGAAGGGCAGCGCCGCCCCGGCTGGAATAGGCCGCCTCCGCCCCAGCTGGGAGCGGCCTTCCTAGGGGGAGAGGGAGGCAACCGCTAAGGGAGGGGTCCCTATCCATCCCCCCCCCAATGGGATTTCTTCCCCAAACCCGGATTAAATGCAGGCAGTCCTCGGTTTACGACCACGGTGGAGCCCGACGTTTCGGTCGCTAAGCGAGACACTTGCTGAGGGCGTTTCGCCTCATTTCGCCCAGAGTCCTTCGGGATTGGGCGGCCTATAAATTCATTAAATACTAATTTGCCACCTTACTGGCCACTGTCGTTTAAGGGAATTGTTAAGTCGGTCACACGGTTGTTAAGTGAATCTGGCTTTGCCCCATTGCTTTTGCTGGCCAGAAGGGAAGATGCATCCGTCCCTAAGCACAAACCAGTTGCCAAGCGTCCTAATTTTGATGGGGTGACCAGGAGGAGGCAAGCAAGGGGGGGTGCGGAAAATGGTCACAAGTCCCTTTTTTCCCAGCACTGTTGTAACTGTGAACGGTCACTAACTGAATCGAGGGTTGCCTGTAGATAGGAAAGCCATTTGAGGGATTTGGGGCTGCTCCTCTCTCTCTCTCTTAGCTCAACCTACCTCACAGGGCTGGTGTGTGTGTGTGTGGGGGGGGGGGGAAATAGGCAGGTGGATTTATTTTATAAAATGTATAGACCGCCTATCTCGCTCCCAGAGCATCCCTGGGTGGGGTACAATTAAAAACATAACCATGTACGACTGTTATATCTCAGTAAAAGACATATACAAATAATATAGGAGGCAGTTGAAACAAGGATCGGATGTGGAGGGAAGAGTCTTCAATGGGCTAATTTATAAAGTCATAATAGTGTGCCAATAATAATAATAAATGTATAATAAATATAGTATAAATGTATAATGTCTTCTCTTATATTTTCATTACTATCATTATTATTATTTTTTCTTAAAAAGAAGGGTATGCTAAGTATATTGATATGAAGCGGAAATACACCAATGAGAGGAAGAGTGGGAAACNTTGTGTATGTATAATGTATATATGTTTTTGTTTGCATGTATGTATATATAGATGTGTACATAATATACATCTTGTATATGTATTTACATTTATGGATGGATCCGAAGCCTTTCTAAAGCAAATTTTATTATAGGATGTAAATGTGGAAAGGAACAGGGTGTGTTTAGAGATGCAAAGGCTTGGAGGGGAGGTGTTTATGGTTTATTATGGGATTGGGAGAGGAAACAGGCCCATTTGTGGCTGTTTTATAAATATAACTCTAAGAAAAGAAGCTGGCATGGAAGAGGATGTAAGGCTACGTGAATTGTTTTAAGGTATCTTTTCGTGACCCCGGGGTTCTGTCTTATCAGGAGAAACAAAAAAAGTGGGGGGGGGAATCCTACCCCCCTTTCCCTTATTTGTATTCATGTTGTGTTTTGAGTGCAATTTGTGAAAAATAACTTACAGGATAACCAAGGTGGGATGAGTAAAAACACCAATTTGCAGTTGAATTAATGGCACCAAGTTCCAACAGCTTTCTGAGTGGAGGGTCTATTAACTTCAGAGGGGCTTGCATTCTGAGTAAATATTTTAACCTGGACATGAAAGATTTGGAATAAACACATGACATAGGTTGTATAAAACTAAATGTTTGGGAGCTTTATAGCTTAGCATTTATTTAGCAGCGAGGCTTTTTTTTATCGATAGTTGATAATACCATTGTAATGGCATATAATGCTAGTCTTAGTTGCCAATGTTAAATATTGTTTGTGACCTGGTTTTAAAGCCCTTGGGGTGCCCCAGCTCCAGTTAAGTGCTGTATTCTCAGCTGGGGTTTAATTTGTTTGGAATATTCCTAAAATATAAACAGGTTTTCCGTCCCAAGTAAAAGTACAGCTGTTATAAAATCCTTTGCATTTTTTTCTACCTAGTTTTTCACACCTATCTAGTTATTCATTCAGCCTGATAAATTATTTAATGACAAAATTGTGTTATTCAATTTTGCTGCAATAGTCATGTGGAATTTTGTAGAGAAATCTATTAAAAGAGTTGTCTAGCGTGAAGAAAGTCAGAAATATCGTTTATCGTTAAGGGGTGCTGTAGATTGAGTAATTTAAAGAACTCGAGGTAGTATCGGAAGAGTAGTAGACAGTCAGTGTACTGCAAATATTAAAAGTTATTTCGTTTTAAATTAGGCTAGTGATTCTGAGCGAGAGGCAAACCCCCCAGAGAAATCATCTCCAGAGAGAGAGAAGAAAAAGGAACGATCAGATGCATCCAGTTCACCTAGAACTTCAAAACACCATTATTCAAGGTCACGTTCCCGATCAAGAGAAAGAAAACGAAAAGGTAGGAAAGCCTCTTAAATTTTGCTACTGGACACATCCTTGTAGTTTAATGGTTGCCTTAATTAAGGTAGTAATTTGTTACACTACACTTTGAAATAAAGGTTTCAATTCAAAATGTAACTTTTTGGAATATAAGTCATAAGTGATAACATTCTATTATTCAAGATAGAATGGTGAATGGACTAAGTAGACCTCAGAATTATGTTGACAACCTTGTATCAGGGAAGGGAGTTGCGAATATTAACCGTTCCAGCTATTTTAAATCTGTAAAATAGCTTAAGCGTTAATATCATTGGGACTGGAGCTTATGTAAATGGGGAGGATTTTTAAAAAAAAAAAAAACTATTGGGTGACTAATAGATGTTTTCTTCTTTAGATAATGACGGGAAAAAATACAGAAGTCGGAGCAGAAGCAAAGAGGTAATTAATACTTTGTAGTGCTTGGGTATTTGTGCAGGACATATTTACAAGTATGTCATAGCATGTATAAATCTTAAGATATAATTGTCTAAATGGTAAGTACCAAAAAAAAAGAAAAAAAAAAGTAAATTCAGAAAGTGCTTGGAGTGAGAAGCATGAATGAAGCCATCTTTATAACAAAAAGGTAATAGTTGACCAAATAAAAAATAAAAAAATTCATGCGGAGATTTATTGTGGAAAATACAATGATAACAATTTTAATAATAATAATTGATTCTCACAGAGCTTCCATTCGCCAGGGTTCAGTTAAGCACTTGCAAAATTCTTTGCCCATCTCCTCCATTCCACCTCCACCCCAAGGTTTTTGTCACTGTTTGGGTGAGGACCCAGTTGGAGTTCTCCCATGGTGGGTTTTCTCCGTTCAACAGGAGTCAACGGAGATGGAAATAAATGGTTTCGAAGGCAGAGC